TGACTGTCTCTGTAAAAGTCAGGGGACCATGGGGCGGGCCAGCAGACCAAGGCCCAGGACAGACGTTCGAGCGTGGTGACGAGGGCAGTGCATGGGACAGAGGATGAATCTTTCAAAACGGCCCTCAGAAAAATTAACATTCTTACCATTTCACTAACATTTAACGAATACGTCCAAAACCAGAAGACACGTCATCCTACCGCATAAAAGGCGAAGGAAGAAAACAACAGGAACTGGGGACCAAGGCCCGGCACAGGCAGCAAAGTACTAACAACTCGCTAAACGGATCACCATCAGCCGAGAGGCAGACCGATTGGCTTAACACGGAGCGACCTGCTGTCTACACCAGACCCACCTAAAACCGCCGGTCAGCAGAGAGCGGGAACGAGGACGTGAGGGAGGGTTCACTCTGCAGGCGGCAAGGAGCGCGGCCCGCTGACAGGCGGCACGGGGGCTCCGCGGACCAAAAGGGCCCACGCGACGGGCCAGCGGGACGCTGTATCCCAGGGGCCCCTCCGGGCACACGGGCCCCGGACAGGAGCAGCGTCCCCAGACCACGTCCCGGGGCCACGGAGCGGTCAGAGGGTGCACAGCAACAGGCAGTGGAGACCCCAGACGTCAGAAACGGACACAGACACGACGTATTCAGCGCACACGCGTGCCCACTTCCCGAGCGTACAGACTGGTGGTGTAGACAATCCACTCCGCACCGCCCCCTCCCCCACGGACTCACGACTGCCAACTCCGCCCAGCCACTCTGCTAGGGAGCCAGGGCCGCTGGGGAGGGCGCCAGGAAGGGCCTCGCTGCGTCGGCACCACCAGGAGGGGCCGCGCCCGCCTCAGGTGGCCTCGGGCTCTCTGCGGACGGACTCGGCCCAGAGGCGGCTGCCCGACCTCTGCAGCTTGGTGGGCGGCGGCAGACGGCTTTGGCCGTCGCACAGCTGGTTTCTCGGGGGGGCCCCCGGAGGCCGCAGGCCCTTCGCGGGAAACATCTGCCTGCGCCCGCTCCAGAAGACCAGCGAGCCCGCCCGCTGCCCTTTCTCAGGCTCCCGTGGCTGAGAGCAAAGGACAGAGCCGTTCAGGCGTGCTGGGTCCCCCGAGGCTGGGGACCCCAAGCAGGCTCCATCATCACCATGACACCCTAGCTCCAGCTCCCCAAAACCCCCCAGCGCCCCCACTCGGGACGTGGACGAGGTGGATCGCTAACCGCCGCAGGGCCCGTCGCGGTGGCCCGGCGAGCGTGCCCGCGACACACGCGCACACCTGGTGCAGGGGGGTGGCGGTGG